TTCTCTTACTCTCTCTCTTGTTTGGAAATAATGGGTATGAGAAGATTATGCCGTTGTTTTCATTTTACTTTTCTCCTGTAATGAGTAGAATTCATATTTAGGATTTTGTGATGCATGTTAGAAGCGGATTTAATTATAAATGTGATGGTTTTTACATGTACTTTATTTACATTACAATAAAGGTCTGTTGTAGTATTAAAATTTATTGTAATTTCATTGATCCGAAAGGGCTGTGTAATTCTCAACAAATTGGAACCATATACAAATTTCATGGATGGTTAAGTTCATGGGAGTTGAATGCAAATAAATAGGGAAATATACTTTGATGGGTGTAGAATTAGAAATTTTAGGGTGACAGACTAAAATCCTCAATTTGGTCATATTGCTTGAGTACTGAAGCGGAGATGTTAGCCCTCAGGCGAGGGGAACGTGAGAGCTCCGAAGTGAGAGTCGGTATCCTCCCAGCCTAGCCACGGATTCAGTAAACAAGCATAGAATTAGTTAATGTTCTTTATGTCTGGAACAAATGGTAAAGAATAGGATTGCTTCTATTTGGCACATACAATATTTAATGCATCTCATTCCTTTACATTATCCAATTCATTACATAAGAATAGTAGTTTTTAATATCTCAAAATTCTCCAAACTAACTCATCCAAAAAAGGTTATCTTTAGAATTAATATTTGCATTTAGTTATAGTTACTGTCTTTACATTTAACACTTGCATTTAGAAGTAGTTGCTAGATAAAATATCATTTTAATCGACATTCCAAACTAAGGACTAATTGTAGTAAACTAGAATTTGCCTAAGGACCTCTTACCTTGTTTCCCTGTGGGATCTATAAACGGGACTCCACTAGAGCTCATTGCTTGAACGATACGTATACTTGCGTTTGAAATTGTGACTTTACAAAATCATTATAAATGTATAAATATGGGTTCATAAATTCTTGCATATTAAAAGTTGCATCAAGTTTTTGGTGTAATTGCCGGGGGTTTAAATCTTCTAGTAGTGGTGTCAAATTCTTGTATTTTTAAGCATATATAAAGTCGCTGTCAAGTTTTTAGCGCCGTTGCCGGGGATTTAAATCTTCTAGTAGCGGTATCAAATTCTTGTATTTTTAAGCATATATAAAGTCGTTGTCATGTACATGTTATTTGCTTTATAAGTTATTGTTGATTTGTGTCTATTGAATCATTGTATTGGCATTTTTTATTACTTTAGTTGATGATCCTAAGCGTGTATGTGAATGACTCACTTTGTTGAACTTTTGTCTTGCGACCCTGAACTTAAAAGAATTGTTAAAAAAAATAAAAAACTTGAGAAACTCAAAACGAAACTAGGAGAAATGACAAACTTACCTTAGGAAAAGGCTAACATAATTAGACCCAATATCATGCCTAAACCGCTTAGGGAGTATGTCAACCCAACAGCAGAAGAAGCCAACTCTTTTGAACTTAAACTTGTTATTATCAGAATGGTTCAGAACCAATCTAGAGGATCACTCACAAAAGAATCTAATATTCATATTGCTAATTCCTTAGAATTATGTGTCACATTTAGGTATAACGGTATTTCTAATGATATTTTTGGACGAAGGTTATTTCCTTTCTCACTTACGGATAAAGCTAAGATCAGGTTAAACTCCTTAGCAACATGATCGATTTATTTGAAATGACTTAGCCCAAAAATTTATGGCTATTTCCCTCCATCCAAAACTGTCAAACTTAAAAAAATATCACATTTTTATCAAATTTGATAAAATTAATTTATAAAGCTTGGGAGAGATTCAAAGAACTGTTTAAGAAATGCTCATACTAGCTTATTATTTAAACATTTTACATGGGCTGGTAAGATCTTTGAGATAAAAAATAGATGTTGCGGCTAGGGGGTCCATATGTCCAAACCTTTTGAGGATGTCTATTTATTTATTGAGAAGATGGATTTCAAAAACTTCCAATGGCCTGTTTAGAGAGTGAATCTTAGGAAGGTAGCTAGTCTCTATGACACGGATGCATTGGTTATTCTAACTTCACAAGTACTCGCTATTTTGAGAAAATTAGATAATGTAGGGTATATTTGGAGCAGTTGCAGCTTATCCAGCTTATCCAGATAAGATAGGCTACTTATCAGCAGCTGATCCTGATAAGCTGACTGGTAGTTTGGGGAAGCTGTTTAAAAACAACTTATTTGTAGTTGTTTGTGGATAAATGATCATTCTGCCCCTGTTAAGTAATGTTATTTGCAACAGAACTGTCTTGACAATATATTTGATACTATATAAGCAGAAAACTCATACAAAACAGTAAAAAAAATAAGAAACAACCCTAACTTAACTGTGAGTATCAAGATTGATAAAATTATTAAAATGACGATAACAACCTGCCACGATTGGGGTCAACTCTGTTGATTTGTATGCCTCAAGGTTCTGAAATAGAGCGATGTATGTTAAATATGTATATATATATATATATATTGTTGTTTCGCCCTGGCATCTTCGGCTCAACTTCGACACGCCATTTGCCCTCCGCCCGACTTGGCAGGGCTTCTTCTTGCAGTGATGGAGCTTTTTTCTTCTTCGGTTGAAACTGACAAAGCCTCCTTTGCCCACATAGGTAATCCTCAGGTGGAGACGGCGGTTGTCTTCCCCTCAAGTTATAAAGAGTATCGTGACGGTATAGGTGACTGCCCCTTTATTAAGAATATAACAACAACAACAAAGACTTAATCCCACTACGTGGGGTCGGCTACATGAATCATTTTTCTCCATTGTGTCCTATTTAGTGTCATATTTTCATTTCGTTCTAGTAAATCTAGCCCAAGTCTTCCTAGGTCTACCTCTGCCTTTCTTAACACAAGTCGAATCTAAAATATCTACTCTCCTAACCGGATCATTAGATGGTCGACGTTTAATGTAACCAAACCATCTAAGACAACTTTCTCTAATTTTGTCTGTCACAGGAGCTACACCAACCCTATCACGGATATATTCATTTCGCATTTTGTCTCTAAGTGTAAAGTCACTCATCCACCTAATCATTCTCATTTCGGCAACACTTAACTTATTATTATGCTTCTCTTTTAAAGGCCAACATTCAGTGTCATATAGCATTGCAGGTCTCACCATTGTCTTATAAAATTTTCCTTTCAATCTAAGCGGTACTTTTCTATCACACAAAAGACTCAAAGCATTCCTCCACTTCAACCAACCCACTCGAATTCTACTATTAACATCCCCATCTATATCACCATCGCTTTGAACAACGGATCCAAGATATCTAAATCGTTCACACCTTTTAATAATTTGATCACCCAGTCACACTTCTAACACTAGAGTTATTACTACTAAAATTACATTCCATGTATTCGGTTTTAGTTCTACTTAAATGAAGGCCTTTAGATTCCAATGTAGACCTCCATAATTCAAGTTTTTCCTGGGCTTTTTCTCTCGTTTTATCCACGAGAAGAATATCATCAGCAAAAAGCATACACCAAGGTACATCCTCCTGTAGATGTCCA